TATTTATATAATTTTATACACTGCATATAAAGTATAAAACATATGATAACATATGAAACAGGGTTCACCAAGGGAATTTTTCTACCTTTTGAGACATTAGCATTAGCTCTAGGACTTTCATTATAATTATATTTGGTTAATAATTCAAATGGTATGGACGACCTCCACACGTGTGTCTTAAGTAGTCGTAACTGAACAGGGAATAAGAGCTTACTTTCAAATTAATACATGAATAAATAATCCAAGTCATATATATGTTTAATTAATGTTTAAATAACTAATTAATTGTAGGGTACATAGTGTACGTGAACATGTGTTTAATTAATTACTTTTAAGTGTTTATAAGTTTTCCACTATTTCTACCCATAATATTGCGTCCATTACTTGAAATAACAATTTATTAACTTTAATTAACATTCACATGACTTGTGTGAATGCTTAAGAATATTCGTAAAGGAAATTAATGTAAATTTAGCAATATAAAAGTTAAATATCAATTAATATTGAAGTAGCGAACCCGTAAAAGTAAGTGGGTGGAATTGATATTTGTATTAAATTGCATCAATAGCTCAACCATAGTCTACTTTATTGTAAACATTATTTTAATTTATAACAAATATTAATAATAGCTATAGTTATAAATATACTGTTCATAATATGTGAATAATATTATTGTGCATTAAGCTAAAGTATTTATATTTATATTAAATTTACAGTTTATGTCACGTCTGTTACATAAGTTTTTAAAATTACATAAATGATAACATACTGTATTTTTCATATCATTATAATTAAATAGTTTATTTTTATAAGTATCATTAATATTTATTTTGCTTATTTAGTCAATACATGTCTGTAAAAATAGTTTATTAAGCAAATATTAAAATTGGTAAGTTAAAAGTTGTGTGAAACTTTACTGCTGTAATATTGTTAAAATCATATTACATTTAAATTATATCATGAATGCCATAAATATTCTTGAATAATTTTGCACTAATTTTAATTTCTATTTAATATCTAATTTAAATTGCTAATTTCTAAAAGCTCATTAATGTAAATAATATTTTTGAAAAGTTTAATATTAGCTTTTGATATAACCTTTAGAGATTTAATTTCCATAAATCACTATATAGTTTTATTTTAAAATCATTTTCTGCATATGTTTGTATCGTTTAAAAATTTTATTTAACATGATACTTTAGACATAAAACTTAAAAACATATTTTTTAAAAGTGCAGTGGTTTTAGATTTCAAATAAATATGTAAATTTTATAAAATAATACAGTACAATTTATTATAAATGCAATTCTTGGTGCAAAGAATATTCTATAGTCTAGACTTAACATATAACTTAAAACTTTTAGAATATAACTTGAAAATTTAATTAAATTTAATTTTAAAAGCTGCTATTTTAAATATATAAAGTATTATGCATATAAATATATAAAGTTTTCAATTGAGTTATTTCCATATCTCATGGAAAATAATATTAAAGCAAAATATACATGTATAATATACTAAATAAAAAGTATTTTATGCAATATTTTGCTTCAAGCAATTCAGATATTTTTGGGACACAATACTTTGTAAATTGAATAGTAAAGTAAATAAATTGAATTTTAAAAAAATAAGTAAAACCAAAAGGCGTGTATCATTATTTGTGGATTATGAATTGGGGATTTTACTGATCAGTATTTTTTCATAATTTTAACTCTACGTGTATGATTAAATATAATTTTTAGAGATTTTTGTAATTTATTAATTTGTCTATTATTTATAATTATGCTAAAATGAATCTTTATTTTTCAAGATTTTTCAATTATTTGTCAATTTATTTGTATGTGCATTCAATCAAAACAAAAATGATATATACAGCAACAGTAACAAAAGTAAAATAACTTTTATTTTTATTAATATGCTTACGGAAATCGATGGCTTATAAAATATTTTATTTTATTTTTTGGTCAAAAACTTTTTCAAAATCTTTATATTACAGTTATATATAATAAATTTAAGCATGATCACTAATTAATACCAAACTTGTAGTCAATGATCACTTATATATCAATTTTTGTGACACTGTATTAAAAGAGACTCATAAACCGGTGCGTTATACAGATATTCACGCAATACGTATCGTATAGGTGTGGCCACCGATAGGGAGGCGGTGGTTGACGAGAGACTACGTGTGTTGAGCGTATCGGGGCTACCAGGGATCAATACAAACGTAATACCGGTGCCCACCGAACGGAGCTCCGGTATCTCCATAATGATTGGCTCACATAGTTTTAGAAAACTTTTATCATTAAACTACTATTTTGTATAATAAAAAACATATAAATTTATTGGCTTTTGATTCATTAAAAAAACTCAATTAATTAATTGACACATAATTATTGGACGTTTTCGATGAGTACGGCGATGCCCTGTCCGCCCCCAATACAGGCCGACCCGATGGCGTACTTGGCGTTCCTCCTCTTCAGCTCATACACCAGATTAGCGATTATTCGCGCACCAGAAGCGCCGACAGCTAATCAATTCAAACATTCAGTAAATACAGTATTACAGTGAAGAGGGGAAGGGATGGCTAGACATACGGTGACCCAAAGCGACGGCGCCTCCATTAACGTTGGTTTTGTTGGGATCCAAACCCAAGTCCTTCTCGACGGCCGCGAACTGAGTGGCGAACGCTTCGTTCACTTCAATCACGTCGATGTCCTTCAGCTGTAGGCCCGCCCTCTCCAGCACTCGCCTGATGGCCGGCGCCGGACCGATACCTGTCCACCGCATAGACATACATAGCGTTAGCATCGATAGTAATCCACACAATAAATGAGTCAATACACGCACCCATTATAGTAGGCTCGACGCCAACGCTAGCGTAGCCCACAATACGGGCCAAGGGTTTGAGGCTATGTTTTTTGAGCGCCTCCTCCGAGGCCAACACTATAGCGCCGGCGCCGTCGTTAACACCCGACGCGTTACCGGCGGTTACCGTTCCGTTGCGCTCAAAAACCGACGGCAGTTTCGCCAACTGTTCGGCCGTTGTCTTAGGCTTCGGGTGTTCGTCCGTATCGATCACCACATCCTTGCCCTTCACTTTGATGGTGACGGGCGCCACCTCTTCCTTAAATACGCCGCGCTGGTGGGCGTCGGCCCACCGTTGCTGCGAGCGCAGGGCTATGGCGTCGGCCCCCTCGCGAGTAATGCCGTACTGTTTGCCCAACTTTTCGGCCGTCTCTCCCATCCGGATGTTCGCCGAGTGGTCCTTCAGGCCCTCCCATAGGGCGTCCTCCAGCTGTCAGTCCATATGGGGAAAGGGATTAGTGTTTTGGCGATATAATTAGCGCAGGCTTTGCGGTACTCACGAGCGGTGTGGTCGAGAACTTCACCCCAAACCTGGCGTTCCTTAGCTATACGTCCCATAGGTTCGTGTAAATGAAGGCTTTGATTAATCACGTGATATATAAGAGGAAAGTTATGTCGAGTTTTATACCACAAACGGTGTTTGACTCATGTTTTCCGCCCCCAGTGTCAGCGCTATCTCGGCGTCCCTTAAGATGATGTCCTAAAACACACACCAATTAATACCCGGCTATTAAAGCCTTATGAGCGCCGGTATCAAAACTCGGACACAACATACCTGATAGCCATTGACCATCGCCTGAAAGCCCGAACCGCACGCCCTGTTAACGGTGAGCGCGGGCACCGGTATGGGTACACCCGCTTTTAGACCCACAGCCCGGGCCACAAACTCTCTGGACGACACCTACTCGCGGGGGGGCACAGGTATGCGAGATATTAGTTCACGTGTTAAATGGCATATAAATGGGTGGTTGGGGTACAGACTTGGATGACGTTCCCGGCGGTGACCGAGTCGACGATGTCTGGGCTCACGTTAGCCTGTTGTAGGGCCGCCCTCGAGGCTACCACTCCTAACTCAACCACCGACACGTCCTTAAAGACACCCCCGAGGGACCCAAAGGGGGTACGTTTGGCACCCACGATAAACACGCCTGGCACATTAATTGCAATGGTCAGTCATGTAGGTAGTTAGTGTCAGTATTAATAATAATAAATTAAGTGTAGTTTTAAATGATATACCTCTTAATAGGGGACTCATTTTGAATGTAGGTTGTTTGGTTGAACAAGTACAAATTGGCAATATCAAAATAGTGTTGTATGAATAAATAAATCTCGGTTTAAATAAATGTATAAAATTGTATAACAATTTGTTTCACTAGTTGTCCGCAAAGTATTAAAAATTGAGTACTTTTTTGACAAATGAGTTATAATCGCAGTCTTATGTATGGCTGAGGACTGGGATCAAAGTCTCGCACATCTCTTAGATATATATAAAAGTACACCAATGAATGGACAGTCGTATAAATTTTGTTTACAATATAACTCCTCGACATTCACTGCAAAACTTGATTCAAAAAGTTTTTGGCTTTTAAAAAGTCATTTACGAAACGACTCGCTATTACTGAGTCTGAGTGCGAAAGCCTTGAACTGCGGCTATGGCTGTGAATGCAGTCTCTTATCGTGTATTTTGTTTATTATTATGTTTGGTATGACGTTGACAGCTGTGAGCATCGGGAGGACAGGGATGTCTGTGTGAATAGCCTACGATAGATGGTGGCAATGTATGCTTGCAATTATTGTAGTTTTCGATGCAATCAGGTTAGTTTTGAAAGTTAAGTTTTATTTTATACGAGTTATTAATTCGGAAGTAACTAGAACATTTATTAAATATTGTTTTTTTAATTAATGTTTTTTGTATTTAATTAATTTATGTTCACTAAACCTGACGTATAGAGATACCTATCCCATGATAGGCGAGTTCATTTTAGATGTACTTCCCTGACAATATTGTTTGAGTACTTTTTCTGAGTACTTATCTATCTGTAACCAAGGTAGTGTTTATTTAATTTATATAATACCAGGGTGTATATAGGTATGTGACTGTTTGTAACTATAAATATGTCACTAAACCTCATGTCATACAAATGGAAATTAAATTAATTAAAATAATAACAATCCCAGATATTTTTATTATGGTGGAATATACTGCCTAACCTTGGTGATTCCCTAAAGCTATAGTTGATTATAAGGAAAGTAGAAATCACAACTTTAAATACATGTAGCATTTGCTACACTGAATTGCATGGTGACTATCATTGAGTAAGGTCACCTGTACTCCCGGTGCACTTTATTACCAGTGTGTCTGACACAAGGCATAAATTATCATAAAATGTTACCGATTTATGCAGACTATTGGATAAATTTGTAAAAATTATTGTAACAAAAATATTGTTACAAGTATAGATACAAAAATGTTATTTATCCCAGGTGATTCTCAGTGTGATTTTAAAAACAAGTGTTTATTTAATTTCTACGTATTTGTTATAAATTATAATTTTCACATCAAAAACAAGTCAATCATTTGCATGAAATTATTTGTCATTTTATTTATGCAAAACATTTTCATGAAATATTTTAATTATTATTTCATTTATAAAATCCTAATTAAAATGTAATTTAATTAACATTTTCGATGAGTATAGCAATACCCTGTCCGCCGCCAATACAGGCCGAGCCTAAGGCATACTTTCCCTTCCGGCGCCGCACCTCATACACCAGATTAGTCATAATCCGAGCGCCTGTCGCTCCCAGAGCTGATCCACGTAAACAAAAAAATCAATGATTAGTCACAAGAAAACAAATCCCATAGACAGAGGGGAAAGGGATGTGTGGAGACATACGGTGTCCGATAGCTATGGCGCCCCCATTAACGTTGGTTTTGTTGGGATCCAAACCCAACTCCTTCTCGACGGACGCGAACTGCGAGGCAAAGGCCTCATTCACTTCAATCACATCCATGGCCTCCAGTGTCAGCCCTGTCTTCGCCAATAGTTTCTTGATAGCCGGCGCCGGACCGATACCTGTCCACCGCATAGGCATACATAGCGTTAGCATCGATAGTAATCCACACAATAAATGAGTCAATTCTCGCACCCATTATAGTGGGGTCGACACCGACGCACGAGTGGCCGACAATACGGGCTAAGGGTTTGAGATTATGTCGTTTGACGGCCTTCTCGGACGCCAACACCAGAGCCCCGGCGCCGTCGTTAACGCCCGACGCGTTACCCGCGGTTACCGTTCCGTTGCGCTCGAAAACCGACGACAGTTTCGCCAACTGGTCGGCCGTTGTCTTAGGCTTCGGGTGTTCGTCCGTATCAAACATGACGTCCTTTCCCTTCAGTTTGATGGGCACCGGCACCACCTCCTCCTTGAATACGCCGCGCTTGTGGGCGTCGGCCCACCGTTGCTGCGACCGCAGGGCTATGGCGTCGGCCCCCTCTCTGGAGATCTGGTATTTTTTGGGCAACTTTTCGGCCGTCTCTCCCATCCGTATGTTGCAGTTGTGGTCCTTCAGGCCCTCCCACAGGCCGTCCTCCAGCTGTCAGTCCATAGGATTTGTTATAAAATATGTGTTTTTCATGTATGGGTTCACTCGCATACCAGTGGTGTGGCCGATAGCCTGACCCCAAACCGGGCGCCTCTCATCTGTCAGTTAATAACAGTTTGTATTTCTCGCAATTTATGGCGAAATACCGTTTCCTGTGATTACCATAAATGGCGTTAAACTCATACTTTCGGCGCCGACAGCCAGAGTGATGTCACAATCGTTTGATACGATGTCCTAATGTATCGCAAAGAAAATACATTATCATCTGCCGGTGCTATCACTACCGTTAAGAATACCTGAGCGCCCGTCATAATAGCCTGAAAACCTGAGCCGCACTGTATGTTCACACAAAGCGCCGGCACCTCCAGAGGTATACCCAGTCGTAAGACCAGACCTCTCGGTATGATTGGCGTGTCGTTGGCGGCGATCTATGGGTCGGTTTTGAGACCAAAAGAGTTAATCAAAGTTTTGTTTGAATAAAACAAAATTGAGTTAAAAGTGAGACCTGGATAACAGTGCCGACGGTGACTGAGTTGACCAGTTTAGGGTCGACACCGGCAGCCTGAAGGGCACCCCTGGCCGCTATCTCGCCCAACTCGGTGGGGGTTTTGCTTTTCAATGCGCCCCCAAACGTGCCAAAGGGGGTGCGTTTGGCCCCCACTA